AGAGATTACCTATGCCCTCTTCCGGTCCGCGTGTAACACCTCCGTTCACGACCCAGGGACCACCGTTCATATCCTGGAACTCTCCTCAGGAACTCTCCTTAAACCGTGGGATTTACTCTTCAAGGCCTTACGTGTCCTGGAGTACATTCTTCCCTCCCCTGAGGCTGTCCAGTACCGATTAGAGTACCTTTACGAAATAAGTATGAGGACTTATCCGGGACACTACGGCTCGCCTTATCCGCCCTTTGGGTGACTCACCCCTGACCTTCGGCTTCTTGCCTTTGGCATAACTTACTCTCCACTGCACTGTGCCAATCTTCCCCCTTCCCCCTGCCGTAGAAACCTCTCACTACCTTCTCACCCAGTGTTACCTAAGCGGGAAAATTAACAGTGGCCGGTACCACTGGCGGAAAACGTGCATATGCCCTGCGTACGTGACGGTGTGTCCCTCTTAATATTCCGGTCTGGACGTGGGTTTAGAGAAGTGCATCTGTGTCTCATACAGTCATGCTGGTAAACGTTACGCCATAGGAGACGGGCAAACAAGCCGTCTGTGCCTCACAATGCCCTGTGCCGATATTGGTGGAGTAATTATTGGCGCTAACTCGCAAGAACGCGAATAACAGAAACGCATTATTTATCCAAACCAAATCGTAATCATCAGTTCTCGTATAAAATCTAGCAGACCTTGAACCGCTCTTGAATTTAATCAGACATATGATCTTGAACCAATTAACACGCATCGATTTGTCGTCTGGTTGTGATCCACCGTATCATAGTAAACTACTGAATGCTCAAACGGAAACGACTCATTGAATTTCGCTCGATAGCTTCTGATGGACTATTAGTTACCTATACAAATTATCTTTATAGAGTTCCAAAATATTGTCATAGGGGTCGCTAGCTTTTCAGAGGAAACCTAATTTAAATCATATTATTAACAGTAAACAATGCATATGAGAAGAACTGCAGTCCTAGATATTATCATAGCATTTCGTATTTGAAATTATGCATTAACTGTTTACGTTCTTATCCCGTTGCAACTTCCCACAACTAACCATGTTTCTATACGATGACCTCCACCTACCGCACGCGCCCCAATTACGGCTAACCCACTGCCCCTGTTGTGGCTGCTCCTCGCGCCCTCTGGCGGCTCAACGCCCGCGTCGGGGACGACGAATACCACGGCCGCCGGCCGGCGCCGCGTCGACACCGTCAGTCACAGTCACGCCGTTATGGACGCGTCAACACTCGCGGTACAGTGCTCGTGTGTGTTGTCTCTTCTGGCCGGGTAGATTCACCGGATGTGTCAGTGAGTGTGAATCTGGTAAAATATTGCTGCAATATCTCCCTGTTCGACATCTCATCAGCTCCATTCGAAGTAAGTTTTTTTTTTAAATTAAATTCCTGTCCCATTTAATCGTTCCCCAACAAAGATGGTCCTTTCTAGTATTTATTCTACAAAAGCACAACGATCGGTACCTATATTAGTCGCATATTAGCTCTAATCACAAACAATTCTACATCTACCTGTTACTCGACATTTCGCAATTTAAATGACGCAAAGTGACCATCTAAAGTCGCAAAGTGTCAAACCGTCAACCTCTAACCACTGCTCACAACTCTGCACCTAAGTAACAGAAGAAATTCCGCCGTAAGCTCAAGCATTCGTATCTGTCGAAAATCATAACTCATAGCCATATTCATAGATCGATCGCATGAATCAGTCGCCACCTTAAAACATTACATTCGCTTTCAACCGTATTTACCTGTTCAATAATTGATTTCGACTTCGCAATTAATTCCTTCAGCAATATTACCAATAATTTCGCAATGCAACTTTTAGTGAATTAAGCACGAATCTACACCATTAATTTCACAAACGAATTCCAACCTCAAATCGCACTTGACCACCGCCGATTATAATAAATCGAACGAACCAGTTTGACCAAAGACAATGACATATTCAATGTTGTCACGCATTCTGTCATCAATTTCAGCGTTCGTGACACTGAGCTGCTTATTCAAATTTTAGGATTTCGCTCACGGCCTAATCGTGAATTCCAACGGACGATAACGATTTGCTGGCGACTCTGACATGACCTCGAAATTCAGATCCTAATATGCTACTAGGGTGTCTGGACCAATAAGTTCAAAGTAATTTAAGTTTTCCAATTCCAATTGAGAGTGCATTTTATGGCAACCGAAAATGTTTGGCAGTCGTCACGGCACGGCAACCGGGCAGAGGGGGGGGGGGGGTTCAAGGATTGGGATTGAGCAGACTTTTCAACAACACTCACATTCTGGAGTTCTCTGCGCTTCCGCTTCTCAGTGTGGTCTCAAGCGTCGGCGGTTGTCCTCCGGCTCTGATCACTCGAACTGAAGAGGCTTCTCGCGGGTGACCCCGGACTGACGGCGGCTCCCAGATGGCGTCTCCGGCTCCAGCTGTGGACTGTGGCTCTCGGCTGCTCGACTGTGATTCCCCTCTGGTTGGGTGGCGTACCCTTTTATAGTTGGGGGGGGGGGAGGGGTGACTGCCACGCCCTTGCGACGTCATCTTCCTCTGCCTTCTTCTGGTGGGTGGGGCCGTAAGATGGCGCCCTCTGTCCTGTTTAGTCACCTTGCTCCTCTGTGCCTGCAATGTTTGGCCGTCGAATCGTCTTCGTGTTGAGTGCTTTATCATTTTAATAATCGCTGGCATAAAACAATCCCCGAAAGGTTTGTGATTTTCGAGTTTTAATTTTGATTCTTCAATTTGATTTTATTCAAACTTTTGTTTCCTTCCGTTTCGTCTGCCGCCAACGCCCCTGTGACGTCACTCTTGCTCCGCCCACCGTACCGGGGCGTGGCCGTAACGCAGCGCCTTCTTCCTCTGCGGAGATCTCTGGAACTACAGGTCATTGCTTGCGGCTTGTTGTGGAGGTCACCTTCAAGGCGTTCTGCCGGGTCACTCACCCTGGGTTGTTGTACCCCGACAAAGGAGGCTGTGTGCTCCAGCCGGCATCCATCCTTTACACTGCTCCATGATCTGATGACGTATCTTGCTGATCCAGCGCTCCCAGCCGTTATCTGTCCTCGGCGTGGGTCCACGAGCTGTTGACAGTGTTACTGATCCAGCTGTTACTTGTTGGAATTCGAATCGTTCATCCTGCGGTAGCTGTCTCCAAAAGCGCGCGTCTTAATGGGAGTTTAACGGCTGCCCATAGCGAAGACCTCAGGAACTACTGCGTTTTTGCTTGCCATAGGATCTTCCTGGTTGTGCCATTCCCACCATGTGACTCAGCGCGGTGCAGCTGTTGTGGTACCTGACAGAGTACGTGACAAGTGACAGAGTACCTTAACGTGCTCGCTCGCCGCCGCCGCCGGCCGCGGTCCTGACGTAGCTTGTTGACTCAGCTGTGCCTCGACGGTTCGTACTGATGTAGGCGGCATCGTCTTCTCGCAGATGTGTCTACTGCGGCTATTCCCACGGACAGTGCTCGTTGCGGGAGATGGAGAAAAGTGATGTGTGGGGATGGTGGGCCTGGTGACTGGGGGGGGGGGGGGTGAATAATGAGAGGGGAGGGGAGCGCAGCAGCAGCGCTCCGCTCAGCTGTGCGTCACCCGGTAGCAGCGATGGGTGAGTGAATGGAGGGCTAGGCCTGTGACCGGACTGCGAGGGGGGGGAGACTGCCGGACCAAGCCGTGCCGAAAAGATTCTACGTTAAATGTTAAAGATGTAGCGTGCTACAATTCTGACAGTTCTAAGTCGGAGAGTGTCATGAAGACGATGAACACTAACACTTGACCATAGAGACTGCAAGAGCGCGCCCAACAGTTCCACTATTGTAGAGACTGCGACAGCGCACAAGACAATACCACCACTGTAGAGACTGCAATAGCGCACAGGACAGTACCACCAGTGTAGAGACTGCAACAGCGCACAGGACAGTACCACCAGTGTAGAGACTGCGACAGCGCACATAGCAGTACCACCAGAGTAATGACTGCGACAGCGCACACGACAACACCACCAGTGTAGAGACTGCGACAGAGCACATAGCAGCATCACTATACGTAGAGACTGCAATAGCGCACATAACAGTACCACCAGTGTAGAGACTGCAACAGCGCACAGGACAGTAACCACCAGTGTAGAGACTGCGACAGCGCACATAGCAGCATCACTAAACGTAGAGACTGCAACAGCGCACAAGACAGTACCACCAGTGTTGAGACTGCAACAGCGCACACGACAGCACCACTAGCGTATGTAAAGACTGCAACAGCGCACATAGCAGTATCACTATACGTAGAGACTGCAACAGCGCACATAGTAGTATCACTATTTATAGGGACTGCAACAGCGCATAAGACAGTACGACCAGTGTAGAGACTGCAACAGCGCACATAGTAGTACCGACATTGCAGAGAGTGCAAAAGCGCATTCAACAGCAGCCACAGATCAAAGGGTGCAACAGCGTACATAAATATTAAAGAATAAATATTAAAGAAAAAGACTGCAACAACGCACATAAAGTACCACCATAAATTGGAGACTGTAACAGGGCATATAACAATGCCTATCACCAGTGTAGCCTAGAGACTGCAGCAATGCACATGAAAGTATCGCCAGTGCCACAAGGTAGAGACTGCTACAGCGCACATAACAATACCACAAAAAGGTACGGATTGTAGATGCATGTACCTACTTACATAAAACACCACCGCAAGGGAAAGACTGCAACAGCGCACACGATTGTAAGTACCACCATCAGGAATGGACTGCAATAACGCACATAACGGTACCGCCTCAGAGGGATGCTGTGCTGCTAATGCGCCATTGGCCGTGTATTTTATTTGTGAATGTCTGAGTGGAGGCGCCATCTATGGTGTTCAGCAAGCGAACGCTAATCGTACTTCTTGTGATAAATATTTGACAATGCTTCCTTCACTTAGGTGCAATAACACCCGCAAAATGTCGTGCAGTGGTGAGCTAACCCTGCGGACCTGTGTTTCAGTGTTTCACTCATCGTTTTCTCGGCTGGAAGATAAATGTGCTCGACTCCTGTCCAACTGGCAGTGCCGTGCCAGCCTCACAGCTCAACCAGATCAAGAGGGTCATGAAAGGTAACACTACAAATAAACCATCCGTGAATCGATCCAAAGACGAGTGGTTGTCAGTTGTCATAGCGAGATTTTAGTTGCCGCTCAGGTTGTAAATTGAGGTACGAAATGGATCGCCATTCTTTCGATCCAGATTGTTATTTCGCGAGATGCAGCGTCGGTTCAGGAACCCGTGCATAAGGGCCGACTCTAAAGTTGTTTCATGTATTGGTTACTTTTCCAGATCGGCTGAAAATCAATAAGCCTAATACTTGGGCGTGAAGTGCCGCGCGTCACTCTGCTATGACCTTGTGGCCCGTTTCAGGTGCCTATGATGACTACGACTATTACGAGGACGAAGTGGCCCAGTCGAGTGTTCGGGTGGAACAGACGGTCCCCAACAGCATCCAGCCGCAGCAGCAGCCGGCCTTCATTGACTTCTCAGAGGGCTCCGACTTCGACTGGCCGTCCGAGCCTCCGCCAGCTGCCGGCCGCCTCCGGCCCCAGCGGCCCAAGGACCGGCCGAACCACGGGTTCCAGTTTGACGACTTCCCGCCGGGGTTCCCCCGACCCGACCTGCCGCCGCCGTCCGATCACATGCCCATTCCGCGGCCCGACTTCGACTTCGGCGCTCGGCTCCGTCCGCGTCGGCCCCAGCCAGAGGTTAGCCGAGAGCCGGAGCGGTTCCCTCCTCCGCAGTCGGTGGTTGATTTGCCGGCTACGTATCTGGCTAAAGAGAGGCCGATCTCTTCTGATCGGGGTCAACCTCAGTCGAAGGGTGGTGGGGTGGTCTATCGGCAGCCACAGCCGCCGACTGTTCCTCCCCGACGGACTCAGCTCAACAGAGTTCATCGGCCTCCTGTGAATGACGTCAGTGACTACAGTCCCACACCGCCCCCGCCACCGCCGCGTTCGTCCACCAGACCTGTCCACAGTAACGGGCGAAAGCCGTTCCCCCGTCCAGCACCCGCTAAAGAGACCACAGAGAGGACTGAGGTGGCCATCGAGCCCGCAGAGATCGCACCGTCCCTCCCACCGCCGCCCCCTACCTTCCGTCCAACCAGCTCCTCCCGTCTCCCGGTGCCATCCAGACCGACCTACAACAGACCCGGTCGGCCAGCCGTCTCGACACCCCCTCCTTCTCTACCACCAACCGCACCACCCTCGACAGCTCCACCCTCACCGCCGTCTCGGCCTCCGACCGCGCCATCCTCTCGGCCACCATGGACGGCTACCAGTCGCCGGCCGCCGCCGCAGCGGCAGGTCTCCTACCAGCCCCCGGCCCGAGAGGCAGTCCCTCCACCGGTCTCCCCGGCGCCGCGGGTGCCAGCCGTGGTGTTTGGGCGTCCCCCGGGGGTCAGCGCGGAGGCGGTACGCCCATTTACCCAGCAAGTGACTACCTCTCCGCCACGGCCCAGTGTGCCTGGACATGGATTCGACCCCAGTGATGTGGTGTTTGAAGGCGGATTTATACCGGTGAAACACAGCGATCGCAATAATCCACCTCTAGCATTCGAGGTGGACGATGTAGCGGGAGGAGGCGTGGTCAAGTCCCCGGCACCGGCAGCAGTCGCACAAAGCGGTAACTCAGGGTTCCAGCCGTCGCCACAGGACGGCCGGTTCAGTGGCCCGCTGTTGGCCACGAGCTCCAACCGTCGCCGGCCACAGGCGGTCAGTATTCCCCTGCCAGAGTCGTTGGTGCCAGTGGGACCTCCGATCGCTCCAACCGCTGATACGCGAGTCGAGACTCCGCCACCCCGCGAGCCTTCTCGGCCTCCGAGCGATCAGCAAGGATTAATCCAGGTGGATTCTAGACCAGCTGAGCCTGAATTCCGACCAGAACAGCCCCAGTCCCGACCAGAGCAGTCCCAATTCCGACCAGAAGAGCCTCAATTCAGACCAGAGGAACCCCAGTTCCGGCCAGAGGAGCCTCAGTTCAGACCAGAAGAGCCCCAGTTCCGACCAGAAGAGCCTCAGTTCCGACCAGAAGAGCCTCAGCTCCGACCAGAGGAACCTCAGTTCCGGCCAGAGGAAAACTCTTTTAGACCGGAGGAGATTCAGTTTGTTCCTGGTGAGCCGACACCACCAGCGGGCTCATTCCGACCTCCGCTGCCGCCGGGTGCCGACCAGCGCCCTCCGTTCCAATTCGGTCCGACGGGCGTCCCTGGAGGAGGGGACGACCAGCGCGTGCGGCCGCCGCCGCGCCGCCGACCGCAGCGGCCGTCCGGCGGCTTCCTCGACGGCCTGCTGAGCTACCTGCCCGGCCTGGGAGGAGGTCGGCCGGCCCGGCGCCGCCAGCAGCCGCCGCCTCCGCCCCGCTTCGGTAACCCGAACAGACGTCTGGAGCTGGGAGGGCCGGGAAGGCAGCCAGGGCGGCCGCTGAGACCGCCGCACCGCCTGCCCACCGAGCCGCGGATGCAGGCGGTGTTCGAGAGCGCGCCGTTCCGACCGTCACCTGTGGACCCGAGTGATGAAGAACCACGCCATCGACAGAACGAGCCCGTGCAGGCTTTCATCCGCGTGTCGCCGCAGCAGGCCACCCCATTGAGATACCAGCAGGCTCTGCGGGAACGGACGGTAAGCGCCGGTTATACAGGAGGATCAGACCGTGGGACGCCTGAGAGGCGGTACGTGGATCCCCGAGACAGTCGCCCCGAGTACAGCTCGAGGTTCGATCAGGACGAGTCTCGCGGCAGCGGAAGGCAGGAGACGATGCTATCCAAACGTTCCGGACTGGTCAGCGGATCGGAGCTGACGCCATTCCCCCGGCGGTCAGAGAGGCCTCCCGTCGACACCCGACCACAGACTGACACCGACCAGACTCGGCAGACCTCTGAGCAGACGCCGGCTTCCTTCCCTCCCCAGCAGACCTTCACACAAGGAGCACACATCAGTGTCACCTCAGATCCTGAGCCACCTCGAATCCCGGCACCAGGACCCGACATTAGCGTCGCTTCCAACCGTGGGTCATCTCAGATGTTTGTATCAGAGCCAGAAAGCACGGTTACTTCAAACCGCCGGCAATATCCGACCACTGCATCAAAGCCAGACACCACAGTATCTTCAGACGTTGATCCATCTCTGACTTCGACGCCTAGCTCAGACACCCGTGCGCCTTCAGATCCCGTGTCATCTCAGACCCTGGCACCAGAGCCAGACCCCATAGCAACCCCGAGCCAATCTCTAGTTAGTTCTTCTACGTCAGCGTCACCGACGGAACCAGCTCCGGCACCAGCACCAACCAAACGTCCTCAAATGGCGCCAGCTTCGGAGAAAAAATATCGACCGCCAATGAGAACAAAGGTGAGGAGAAGCATGAATATGTCGTAGAGCTTGCCTTGTTGGTACGTTTGCTATGGATTGATGAAAAATGAGACATTTGATTTATGTTATTCGCTAGAGTTCAGTTGCTACGTATAAGTAAAACATTCTGATTGCACGGATATGATAACGATTTTAGACGCAACAGCGACGGTATATACATATGAGTGGCGTAAGTTAAAAAGACAAGTAGTTACTTCTTTGATTTACCATAACCATCAACCAGGTAAGTCCTGTTGGTAACAACTGTCCTGTAACGGCTGAGTGGTCCCCTAATTTGTTTTGCAGACTGACTCCGAGTCGATCCCTCACAACATTCTCGAAGATATTTGGAGCAGAATGCGCGAGGCGGGTGGATCTCAAAAGACAGTCTGATGAAATAGAAGGGGAATCGGTAACGACTAACGAGGTAAGATGACGAATCCATCGGCGGACGATTTCAAAGAGATTCAACGACACATGCCTGAATAATTTCATTAATTTCATTAAATAATTTCATTTCTTCAGCACCTGCTCAACTGAATCATATTTTTCAGGCACAGTTGGTAGGCGACGAAGACGTGCAATGCAGCGTGTCTTGGAAGAAGTAGCTTCAGCATCGAGATCACTTGGAGTTGTCGCAACGGCAGGAGCGACAGCGACGCGATGGACTCTTCCGCTCTTCAAGCGCTACCCTAAAAAGCGCCTCTCGTAGCTGCACTTCACACGGCCACATGCGGCCATGCTCACAAAGAATGAAGTTTGGCTCCTGGTGTTGTCCCAATTGCGTCGATCGAACGGTTTCACTGTTACTGAACAACTACGGTTCTGAGACGCACTATACTTCATCAGTTCTAGACGTACGAGTACTTATTACCGTGGTGCCGAATTCCGCACATCCGAGAGGTGCAGGCATTAATCAACGTTCAGCATGTCAATAATACCTAACCTACCTATTCTCCATCGCTTCACGAGACCACATTTAGTCCCCAGTGAACTGACAGACCTGACCGCTATTAATTTCATAGACACTCAATGTTTAGTATAATATGAACCACATATATTACACTGAGAATACAGCGATCTGTAACTATGTAGGGGAGAGTGGGGTAATTTGGCCGCTTTTTTTTAGAAAACGATGTAACTAAAAATTGACAGCACATTTCTGCATTTTCTCAACGCTGACAGGTGTGGCATACATTTTACTTTACTGGACAGTAAACTTGAAATGATAGAGTAACTATTTATATTGAAATTGTGACGTATTACAAAGGCCTGCAAAGCGGCCAAATTGCCCCACTAGCCGGGGTATTTGGCCGGGGGTGTGGGGCAATTTGGCCGGTGTTAGTTTGAGGCCATGATTTTTGTTATAGGCGAGTCAGCTTCACATTCAGCAATGACGCGTGTCCTACGACGCATTTGAAGCATTTTGGAGGTTGACTCAGCCGTCACAGGGGTCGAAAATAGTCAAAATAACGGCTCTAGATGCGATGACAGTTTTTTAAGAATAGCTTTTGAAGTAATCAAGCTAGGCCAAAACTAAAAGTACCATCGTAATTCTCTCGTCATTCCGCATCGAAACATGTATGTGTTGACCTCGAGAGGTCAAGGTCAAAGGTTGGCTTCAGGTCACGTTACCTCAGGTTGCTTGACCTCAAGGTTTCGTGAGTTCAAGGTCATCATGTATATCATTCGATGCGTCTTGACGAGCTGAACACAATGATACCATTTGCGCGGCTGTATCTTTTTCTGTAAGTATTTATTAGCAAAAAAGCGTTAGGTTACCTTTGATGACGTCACATGCCCTTACAGCTGTCCAATAGGAAATATGGCATCAAGGTAGTCAAAGTTGGTCATGAATTATGTCCTTTATGATGGTATAATTGACCATGCCAACTCGGCTGTCCCAGCATAGTGACTCTGAGCGCACCGGCCAAGTTGCCCCGCTAGTCCCGGCCAAATAACCCCACATTGCCATTCTGAAATTTTTTGTCTATAAAGTCGTCATGGCTGTACAGAACTAGATGAAATTGCTCTTGGAACCGCTGAACACCCTCAAAAATGGCGCTATAATGTTGGAATTCGTTAACAACCCAAATACTCAGGGGCGGATCCAGGAAAACTCCAAGGGGAGGGTCATGAATCGAAGTGGTGCCCCTACCTATACCCAAAATTAAAAACTCAACGGATTTCGTCCACTTCATTTTGGTGGTGCCCCCATTTTCAGTTTTTTATTTTTATTTTTTATTCTAAGTCAGTATCTTACCTCTTAGCCACAACCACATTTACCAATTGTAAGCAAGTATATATGAATGTGCTTTGTGTATATATGTTGTGGACGCTGAGTAATGAGTACTTACCAGGAACGTTATCAGGTAAGCAAATCGTTGTCAGTCCGACGAACTTGACCCTGGCGTCTAAAGGGTCTGTCCTTGACACTTCAGGCTTGTCAGGGGCACCAAAGTCCTTCCAGGGACACCACAAACCTGTCAGGGGCACCTACGGCCTTGTAGGGGCGCCACAGGCCCGCCAGGGGCACCACAGGCCTGCCAGGAAGCAGGGGCACCACAGGTCTAGCAAGTATACACGACAGGCCTGTCAGGGGCACAACGGGCCTGTTGGGCCCATGAGCACCCCTAGGGGCAGGGGCACCACAGTCCTTCCAGGGGCACCGCAGGCCTGGCTGTGAGGGGCACCAGCGGCCTAGCAGGGGCACCAGTCAACACAGGCCTGCCAGGGGCACCACAGACCTGCCAGGGGCACCAGAGGCCTGCCAGGAGCACCACCGACCTCGCAGGGGTAACTTGGGCCTGTCAGGGCCCAGGGGCACCACGGGCCTGTCGAGAGGCACTTCAGGCTTTTCAGGGGCACCATAGTCCTCTCAGGGCGCAGGGGTAGCAGGGGCACCAGAGGCCTGCCAGGGGCACTACAGGCCGCCTAGCAAGGGCACCACTGGTCTATCAGGGGCACCACGAGCCTGTCATAGCCAGGCATCTCAGGCTTGTCAAGGCCCAGGGGCACCACAGGTCTGTGAGGGGCACCAGCGACCTAGCAGGGGCACCAGTCAACACAGGTGCCAGGGGCGCCACAGACCTGCCAGGGGCACCACAGACCTGCCAGGGGCACCACAGACCTGCCAGGGGCACCCGAGGCCTGCCAGGGGCACCACCGGCCTCGCAGGGGCACCTTGGGCCTGTCAGGGGCACGACGGGCCTGCCGAGGGGCACTTCAGACTTTTCAGGGGCACCAGTCCTCTCCGGGCGCAGGGGCACCAGAGGCCTGCCAGGGGCACCAGCGGCCTAGCAAGGGCACCAGAGGCCTGCCAGGGGCACCAGCGGCCTAGCAAGGGCACCAGAGGTCTGCCAGGGGCACCACAGGCCTAACAAGGGCACCACGGGCCTGTCAGGGGCACCTCAGGCTTGTCAGGGCCCAGGGACACCACAGTCCTTCCAAGGGCACCGCAAGCCTGTCAGGGGCACCAGAGGCCTGCCAGGGGCACCACAGGCCTAGCAAGGGCACCTCTGGCCTGTCAGGGGCACCTCAGGCTTGTCAGGGCCCAGGGGCACCACAGTCCTTCCAGGGACATTACAAGCCTGTCAGGGGCACCAGAGGCCTAGCAAGGGCACCACAGGCCTGCCATGGACACCACAGGCCTGCCAGGGGCACCACCGGCCTTGCAGGGGCGCCTCAGGCCTGTCAGGGGCACCACGTGCCTGCCGGGGACACTTCAGGCTTGTCAGGGGCGTTACAGTCCTGTCAGGGCCCAGGGGCACCAGGCCCGTGGTGTCCCTGCTAGGCCTGTGGTGCCCCTGGCGGTCCTGTGGTGCCCCTGTCAGGACTGTGATACCCCTGATAGGCCGGTGGTGCCCCTGGAAGGTCTTTGGGCCCCCGGGCCTCAAGGGGGGGGCCATGACCCATGTGACCCCCCCCCCTTGGATCCGCCCCTGCAAATACTACATGTTAAACAAATTCTTAAACGGAAGTAAAAGTTACCATTTTCTAACGAAATTCACCTTTTATTAATTTTGAATAAAACTAAGAGGGGGAAAGTTTTGACATTTGTTCTCGAGTTAGTTCTGCCAACGGCAAATAAATAGAGACTAAAGTTATTTCATTCACTTTTATCAGCTTTCGTACAGGTGGGGGCGGCCAATTTACACCACCGGCCAAATTACCCCACTCTCCCCTACGTCATCGTGACAACTGACAATGCACCGTAGGTATCTTGTGTTGTTTTATGCTTGTGTAGATCGGCGTCACGAATGCGTTCTACACACACTTGAGTGTATATAGGTTGTTACACCAGAATGGGCACTTATTTAAGTAGCACCTTAATTGGTGTTATCATTATTGTTTGAAGTTGTTTGCGATTGTTGGAATGAATGTAACAAAGTGTATCTGCATCAGTTTCCCCACGGCTTAATAAGTGTGTCGTGTTGGAGTGGAATCGTGAATACAGCCTATTGGAATGCCAAGTAGCACTTTAGACAATGCAATTAAGAATGCGTGCGTTAGCCTCGTTGCATAGTACAATTGTTGTAATATATTTTTTAGGTAAAAGTGTGTTATGACCATCCGCTAGCTAAGAAGTAAACGGGAAAGCGAACGAGCAGTTCCGTGTCATGCTAAGTGCGGAAACGAAAATGTCCGTTAGCCTTTATTCAGCCCGGACTCAGCCCAGATGAAGTGGGCTACCTATTATTCAATAGCCCATAAACCGATTTAGCTTTCCCTGCAAATCGCTAATGAATATGCGACCTCATTTGAGATGGGCAGCGTGAAAAGCGTGAAATCATTCAAACAGAGTCACCGGACACGGTCGAGTCAGTCACTCAGGACTCAGGAGGCACGAGAACCGGGCAGAGAGCCATTTGGACAAGGACGGCCGGCAGCGGCACAGAGCAGGTGGGCAACTGTATTCTGTTCTGTACTGTGCCGAAGCACCGAGATGGGCTCCGGTCCATGAGTACCGATTAACGATGCCCCTCTCATGGTTGAGTTCCTACCGGCGTCTGCCCCCCTTGACGGGACCGTCGCCTTGGGGGCGTCATGCGTCAAAAGGCAGGGTACAAACTACAAAGAATAAAGCTCAAAGAAGGGATGTCGATCAATTATCGGCATCACGTATTTACACCATCATACATATTTACATATCTAGTTATCTACACATTTGTCATTTACGCTATAAATGTTCTCGGATATCTCAGCTAGAGGTAAAAGTAGGGATGTGCTTGACTCATGAGTCGAGTCAGAAATTTGACTCAACTCTGACTCAAATGAGTCAGATTTGAGTCGAGTCGGATAAAATGTTGAGCTGTTGAGTTGAGTCAGAGTTGAGTCGGACAAAAATATAAAGGCGTTGAGTTGAGTCAGAGTTGAGTCAGTAAAATAACTTTTGATATTGAGTTGAGTCAAACATTTAGGAACATGAGTCAGCTGACTCAACTTTCTAGAAACAAGTTTTTCATCCCCCCCCCCCCGCTCAACAACTTCGCCCTGGCCCTGCTGCCGGATTTTTTTTCACCCCGCCCCCGCTCAACAACTGTTTTATCTGAGTCAATTTTGAGTCAACTCACTTGACTCAACAAAAAAATTTAGTCAAGTTTGAATCGACTCATATTTTCATTGAGCCGCTTGAGTCATAAGCCGAGTCAAGGGAAAAAATCAGCTCCTTGTTTGAGTCAGAGTTGAGTCAGGGCTTTCTAAAGTTGAATGATGAGTCGAGTCGGCAATTTTTTTTTAGTCGAGTACAACCCTGGGTAAAAGACATTTGCACAGTAGGTATACTTACATACCTACATCAACCTTTAAATCTGCTCTTTAGTCTTATCTGCTCTTTAGTCTTTAACCCGCGCACCGACGGGGGTCTGCGCCAACTTCGCACCGACGGAGGGGGGCGGATGACCCCCTGAGATCTCGAGAACGAAGCAAGATAGCGACAAGCGGTAAACGGCATCGGATACGCACGGTCAAGATCTACAATTTTTACAAAGGCCATTTTCAGGTCAGGTCAAAGATGACGTCACAGGGGTCGAAAAAGTCAAAATGGCGGCGCTAGATATGGAGAGAGTTTTTCTCGAATAACTTTCGAATTAGTCAAGATAGTAACAAACTAAGGGCATCATCG